ATATATATCACAACCACCACCACAAGTCGAAAGGAGAGGAGATGGGTTGAAATCAGAAGCTAGCCGAAGATAATCAAGGAAACGGAAATATGCGAGATTTCTTCAAATGGATTAAAGGCGAACAAACAGAGAGCTGATATGTGGGCGAGGAAAACAATGATTGGTTGTTTGCTTGGTTAGACTAGTAGATAGCCTGACAGGTATTAGACGAGTTATAAATTTTCCTGTGCTTATTATTATTATTGTTTTTTGTTGTCGGTCATTGGAGTGGAAATATACTCACGTTCTAGTCAGGCTAGTCACGTGTTCTTGGTCTAAGTTGTGTTGATGTTTTATGAATATACACTGGAAGGACATCTAGTGTAGATATTCCTCCAAAGTAAATAAACGTCCTATTCGTGTCGACGGAGAAACAGAGCGTTATAACAGATACCATCAAGGATCTGAGGCAGTTCTATAACAACTGAACTTGAGTTCAAAGAAATCTATCTATAAATTGGCCGCAATTAACCCTGAAACATTAGAATAAGTAATACATTATTTGAAAACACATTATGAAATGTTAAATAAACCTGCTATGAATTATTATTATACCATAGATGCCACAAATCATGATTGAAACCTAAAGTTTTAGTAGTATTTAACGCAATAACAAAAAATCGAGAATAACGTTAACCTTAGCTGGTTAACAAAAATAACATCCACACTTCAAATGAACCTTTAATAATCGAATTTTAGTAGATAGAAATGTCAACATTTGTAACAAAACTCTCAGGTTGTTGAAAAAAAAATAGTGAAAATGGTTAACAAGATGGTTTACAAGCGTGATAAAACATTCTTTAGATGATCATTCGTGCAAAAAGATGATTGATTGATTGGTTACTAGGATGTTTTGAGGAGGAATTTCTACTGAATATCCCGGATACGCAAACCAGTTATATTAAGAGTGATCAGGCGAGGGAAAATTTATATTTTGCCGTAGTTGATTCTATCAACTGAGCTTTAATTAGTGTTTGTTAATATTTTACTGGCTCTATATCTGACTCCAGTTAAATCATATGCTGATTGTTATCGAAATACACATGCCACCAATCCTTGTATACAACTGTCGAATTAGGTCGCGTTCAGAGAAAAACAAGTTACAGACACATGATGAATAGGGTAAGCAACTAACACACATACGATCATATGAAGAAAAAACAGTAGGATCAATAAGATAATAATCAACAAGTTCAAAATGTGGCTTGAATGGAATGAATAAATTGGTCTGTTCAGAAGCTGAAATAGCCTATGTGGGCTTGACAATAGAACCAGACACTGCAATCCTCTTGTGTAAAATGCGAATAATAACAAAAATTAATTACAAAATGAGTCTATGTTAACTATCCCCATAGTATATGTTCATTCTGTGTTAACTGCCTAGAAATTGCTATGTCCTAGATTCCACTACTAGCCACCCTCTGACTTTAGTGAAACATTGTGATTAAATATCTGGTATGTTCCTAATTTAGAGATAGGTTGATGTACACCATTCAGTTTTAAAATGGTTACTTTGCACAAGTCAGTAGCTACTTAAACACAATAGTAAGTAAATTACGCATTGAGTGCTTGATGCTCGAGGTACTGCCTTCGAGTCTCGGCGTGACAATCAGCACTGGGGTTCAGATGCATTCACTTGATGAGTTCTAAATAGAACGAAACCTGAGTCCGGAATTTCACTGTTAACCACTATCCAACCCTGCTTATAAAACGGGCGAAAAGTAGTTGAATAAACACAGGTTATTATTCAAATAAATTATAAATCTATAATAGTTAACGTTTGCTTTTGAACAAGGCCATGATCAAATTTGTATTTTCTAGCAACAAGTATGAATAAGTATAAAAGTAGATTAATGAAATCCTGCTTTCGAGAAAATTAGAATGTTAGACAAATCATTTGTTAAGAAAAATGAACGTGTAAGAACTGTTTGATTTATGTTGAGAATGCTGTGCAACTAGTAAGTAACATCCTAAATTTGAACAAGATCATAGTATTTGGATCTTTTTGTTAGAAGAATCACTCCATTTTTTTAAAGTTTCTTCAATCAATAATTGAAGCCCATATCGATTAAATCTTGTTTTTATTAGCCGAATAAGCTTCATATCCAAAGCTGATGATCATAAACGAATTGAAAATAAACTTTATATGGAGTAAACAGACTAACTATCACTTGGTATTGTTTGGCTTGTATCTTCCCATTGAGGTTTTAAGGCTGCAATTGATCTTTGCTTATAAAAGCTTGTGAATTAAGGCAATATCGAGGCATACACACAATATGCACATATGCCAATAACAGACTGATCGATTGTAGTCTTAAAACTCATTGGGAAGATACAAGCCAAACAATACCAAGTGAATTTAAATTCACCCCATTGCACAAGCAACTGGCTATCACGACTCAGTAGCTGAGTGGATAACGCGATGGCGTTTGAAGCGAATGGTACTGGGTTCTAGTCTCAGAGTGAACATCAACTGTGAGATGTAGGCACATCCAGCTGACGAGTCTTAAATAGGACGAAACGCTAGCCACTCTCCATCATTGCTTACAAAAAGACTAACTATCCATCGCCAAATATCTAATTCATGGTTTAAAAATATGTATTACACACTACTCAGTATTCATTCTCCAATGAAATAACAATGTGAACCAATAATTACAGAGAACAAAGATAATTTCCACAACACTACATCGTAATTTATTTAAATACTGTTTAAAAACCTTCAGATATGAGTGTCATAAAATATTTTATTGAGTGATTTACAAATTTAACCATAAAAACAAGTCTCAAGAAGAACCAATACACTTACTTGTGGCTAATGGAGGTGTTATATCCCGATAAGAATAATGAATGGTAGTTTTTGGGATCCATTTATGGACCTATACTATGAGTATATTTTTATCGTGTAGTTGTTATGTAACTAAACTGTTCATATTCATGTCCCTCTTATTATGAGTTTTATTTTGACCCATGAACTATTATTATACGATTTATCATTCTTGAATTATGCCCTGTCTCTTAGTCACTACCTTCCTCATTCACAGCCACTTTTGGCTAAATCTTATACAAATGTTGTTTCATATTTTATGGTGCGTTGTGGTCTGTCTGGTTGGTATATAAACCCAGTATGTTTGAAATAAACGATTCATATTGCAGAGGCTGAAACTTGTGTTCTGGACTTAACTGGCTGGGCTAGACAGGAAGCGAGACCTATCAGGACTCTAGGTTGCTCGCACGTATTTTATGCATCAATGGTTCGATTGATAATTCGCTGCTATCTGATTGGCGGTATCGTTTCGTTTTCCAATAATGAGGGCACACAAATTCACAAGTTATAACAGGAGGATCGACAAAGTTTTAAGAATATTACGTTTACTCTCCTCCCGTATTCATCAATAACTCACATAAACAAGAACAACTGTAACTGGGACAATGATATTATTCAAAACGTCAAAGTAGTTGAATGATGTTTCGTAAAATTACAATATAATTGCCAAGTGATTAAAGTTTGTGATCATTTATATCGATAAAGTTAATAATACATTACATGGATTTGCCCAACTCTCTGCAATAGATTGATTTCAATTAACTACAACGGAGGAATAGCTTCTTTTAACTTTCAGAATCGAGTACTGTCAAACTTCTAAAGTTACTAATACTGTCAACATGAGATGAACATTGAAAACAATCATTAAAAGGTTCATATGAAGATTAAATCATAATTGTAGAAACAATCAAATTAATCACACATGTTTAAGCCTTATAGAATATTTAACAATGTTAAGAAACTACATTAGAATTCCTTAACTGCCACAGAATCCTTGTCGATTTTAAAATAACGAAAGCCACCCATTGGGACAATGAACAAAATGAAGACTTTTCATCGAAAGAAATTTTTATTTCAAAGTCATCATTTGATAGAGCTTGAAAATTGTAGTCATAGTTATTTTTTTCCACGTAGTGATATTGTGAATTTGAAATAATATAACGATGTAGAACTAATCCCAATAATTATCAGAAGGGGGTTTGGTGGAGATTGTAGTAGTTTTATAGGTGAATTCATGAGTCAATTAAAGCTAGACCATCATGGAAAACCTTGAAGCACTAGACGGCCATTTCGTTCTATCGTGGGACCCCTAAGCAATGCGCACCCATGACCCCGCCTCGCGAGATTTGAACCCAGGACCTATCAGTCTCTTGCGCGAACGCCATAACCTCTAAACCACTGAGCTGGCAGGCATCCAACGGTGTTAATGTCTAACCTCAACTAATCCGCGAAGTTGCGCCACTGTCTACCATTGTCTTCAGTGAGTTACTATCTCACTACTGAGGAGTCCTATACTAGGATGAAACGACCGTCCAGTGCTTCTAGGTTTTCAGTAGCGGTCCAGCTTCAATTGGCTCGTGAATTCAAATGTTTACTTACAATATGTCTGGAACTTCA